TAAGAAATCGTTTGTGGAAGTTCCTCCAAGATGGCCGCCGTGACGTAACTTGGAAATGAAGAATAAGTTTGGTCTTCATCAAAATTACTGATTGCACGTTTGAGAAACATTTCAAGTGTTTTCAAGAACCATAAATGTCGCTCAACTCTTTTTACAGGCGACTAGAGCAAATTGAATTCAAAACAGCTCGATTTAGACTCAAAAACTGAGCCAATCATCAGGTCATACAGCTAAGCCTGTAAACCATAAATTAACATTCCTTATCTCTTCTAATACTATCACAGGTACTTGAATGTCAAGAAACAAACCCTTAACAGCTTATCAGACTCCTCGGGACAACTCATATATGTCTATCAAGAGGAATAAGATAGGTTAAAGTATGGTATTGAAGTCTGAACTAAACTAGTCCAATTTCATATCTTGGATAAGAAAAATATTGACGAGGTCAACAATGCTTAGATCGAGGACATATTTGAATAAGAAGTTCTGCAGGTCGACTAGTTTTTTTCGTTCATTTGTCAGCTTAGGGAATTATCACAAGGACTAAGAAAGTTTTTTTTTACTAAGTGAAATATTGACAAGGCGAACACGCTTAGGTCAAGGACATATTTGAAAAGAGGACTCAGATCTGCAGGTCGACTAGTTCTTTCGTTCTTGTCAGCTTAGAGAATTATCACAAGGACTAAGAAAGGCTTTTTTCACTTTCAGGTCTTGGATATGTGAAATATTGACCAATGTTGATAAGATGAACGATGCTAAGGACGAGGACATATTTGAATAAGATCCTTAGGTCTGTTGGACTAGTTCTTTCGTTCTTATCAGCCTAGGCAATTATCACAAGGACTAAGAAAGGATTTTTCACTTTCTTTTCTTGGATAAGTGAAGGATCGACAAGCTAAATGACATGCAGAATATTAGTTTTTTGAATACTAGAGGAACAACCTCAGGTTTACAGGTCGACATGTTTTTTTCGTTCTTGGAAGCTTATGAATTATCACAAGGTTATGGTAAAGTAACGAAGTCTAGACTAAACTATTTTACATTCATATCTAAGATAAGTAAAATATCAACAAGGTGAACGATAAGCACTCTTTAGGTCGACGACATGCAGAAAATCAGTGTTTTTAAGTGAGAAGAACAACGTAAGGTCTGAAGGTCGACAAGGTATTTCATTATTATTAGCTGAAAAAGGCTATTAGACTTTCATATTTTAGATAAGTGAAATATCAACAAGGATTTTTAAATCCTTAAATCCTTAAAAGGTCGAGAACATGCAGTTAAACACGGTGTTTTTACATGCGTGGAGCAACTTCAGGTCTGAAGGTCGACAGGGTATTTCATTCAAGTTAAGTTTTTTAGATGTTTTGTTGTSGAAAACTGTGAAAGACAYCGACAGGAGTGCAGAGAAKACTTCACAATGACCAGTGAACGACATTCCAAGCTTGATGAAAGACACGGAAATCCGTCTCGACTATGGTCGACAAATTATTAGTTAAAACAATGAAGTAGAAGAAAAAACAGTTTGAGCCATTTGCTATTAGAAATTTACTTCGCTGGTGATCGAAGTAAATCAGAACTATTCTACAGAAAAGAAATGGAGTATAAGCTGTCTTCGCGATTTTTTATGCATGTTTGAATTGAATAAATTTTTCTTTACAACTGAAATGCAAGTTTTTTGTGCAAAACTGAATGAAAGTTTTTGTTTTTTGTACGTTTCTGAAGAAAAAACAACAACAAAACAACAACAACGACGACAACAACAACAACAATTTTTGTGAGCTATTGGGGTGTAGAATTGTGAGATGATTAACGAGATTTCCCAACATGCTTTGCAGCTCAAAATTGAATTGAAAATTGTACAAAATGGCGTCTGTGTACATTGAATGATAACGATGAATGATGATAGACTATCAATGACATAATACTACAAACTCACTGTTGTACTTGGAGACTGCAATTATGGCTGGTAAAGCTGATCACAAGCTGGAGTTTCTCCGTGGCGTACGATCCAAACTGTTTCTTGAAAGCTTTTTCTTTTGCGCTGTTCGTCCACCGTAATCTCTCAATAACATATAAACCAGTATAGAGACCAGAGCAGCATACGATAACTTTCCAGCCCATTACACGCCATAACTACGAAAATAATTCAACAAATAAATAAGAGGTAGATACTCTCAATGCAATAGTTGAGTTTCGTGATCTCTTTTACGCTGTGTTAGCCTCAATTGTGTGCTAAAATATTCAGAAATGTAGATAAAACTGGTGAGATTTCAAACTATTTCCATTGTCTTCTATACTCACAGATCTCTTGCATTTGCACGGGCTGTTGTGAATAAAAGAATATATTACATGGTTTTGAGGCTAACACAGCGTAAAAGAGATCGCTAAAAGGGTTTATTATTATCCTAATTTAGCTGGGTTGGGCTGCCTCTGTATCTCATGGCAAAGGAAGCCCAGAGGTTCAAAGTCGTTTTATTACTTACCAGTCCTCCAACTACTACCACCAAAGTAGTGGTCCGTGACGTCAGAGATGCGACACCCTGCACCACTGCGAGGGTTAGCTCGTCATCATTATACCTCGGTACTACGTCACTATTTCGCCGAGTGCTRACTTGGCCGGGRTGAGCTGGGTCTTGGTTTGGCATCATATTTTTAACATCGCGTTCAATCTGTTGATTATTAAGTTATAATTATCATCATCATYATTACAGACATCATCGCTACATCACTTACGCTTTTGCCCATGGCCACAGCAAGTTTAGCATTTCTTGGAGCAAGGAATTTTTTCATCAGGGCCTCCCAGCCAAGACTGAAGTGAAATTCAATATCTTCCTCAAAATCACTGCACAAGTCATGGATTTCAAGGCGATACGAAACTTCAAAGTCGTTTCTGAAAACAAAACGAAAAAGAAAAAGAGATGAGTGGGAAATCGAATGTCGAGTTCGATAAGAAACGTCAAAAAGTGGGAATTAAAGAATAAAATATTAATGAATACAAGAGAAGGGACTGGGAATGAAGACGAATCAAATATAGCACAGTGAAATAACTAGAAAACAATTAAAATAAATTCTTATAATTCTTAACACAAGTAGCGCAGGCTCAAGTTTACAGGAAAGTAAGTGACTGACTGAGTGACAGATTCCAATAACTCTTTGATTGCTTCACAATTCTTTGAGTTAAAAAAAAACGCCTGGTAACTACCTAGGAGAGGCCACCATTACATTTTCTTGCGCTGACTGGGGGAGAAGCTTCTTCATTTCCTCTGAATACAAAATACACACCAAAAAATCAGTTAATCACCCATCTCTTAATAAACGCAAATGTCATTTCAAAGTCTGAGAATTGAAAACAAACCTGTCATCTCATTCTGTGATTCGTGAATGATCTGGGTTTGCGAGTTGGAACAGCGAGACATTAGATTTCTACCAAGTCCATTCTCGATATGTTTATTAAGCTCCTATAACGATAAAAAACAATGTAAAAAGGCTACATTAATGCGTGTTTTTCCAAGTGGCTTCTTGGTAAGAAAATTGCTCACTTGTACGCGTAAAGAGGCCCATCACAATCTTACCAGTGGACGATATTGATTGCGTGGTTCAAGTTGTATTTTATGGCTATTGTAGCCATGCTATGAGAAGCTGAATAGGCCTTTTACATGAACGGTACTAATACACAGCCCCAAAAACAAACAAAAGGAACGCAGCCCATCAATCTTGACAGGAAAACCATGAAATTCAAACTAAATACTATCAAATAGCGGCTATTTAGAGACAAATTGTCAGTATCAATAAACCAGAACAGAATCAAGGAAAACGTTTTTGTTTTGCACATCCCAGTGGGTATTTTGCCATCCAGTCTGGTGGATTTAGTATGTGACCGTTTCATGAAAATGGACTATTGACGAAACAGGTGAAAAACGCACTGCGCATGTCCACAGCTTTCCCGCTGAAATCTCCCTAATTTCCTTTGTAAAGCGATTTTTGTGAAAGTTTTTTTACAATTTATAAGCTCGTTCACCGATATATAAGATTCATATTTCCATCAATCTTTGTTCATGATATGTTCTTTTAGTATGTAGTTTCTATTT